TGGTTGCCATATTTYGATTTGGTGTGTACAGGTACATCTTGTATAACAAATTATCAMATGATTCATGAATCATTGATGGSGAAAACTACAAAATTAATGCTTTATAGAAATCAGTCACTCTGAATAATTACATCTGTATTAACTCGTCCTTTGCAAAATCCTTTTTTTAAATACTGATATTTTTTTTGTCAAACTCATATTTTTAATCTCAAACAACTTAGTAATAAAATTATACTTCTAAAAAATCAATATGCAATGTACAGCATTTCGTCCAATCAATATGGGCTTCATTCAGAGGGGCTGCTCATATTATATTACATTATTTTGATACATTTGGTATAGATTTGAAAATTGTGATATGCAATATGTACATTATTTTGTCTAATTGATATGCACTGCCTCATAATTCAGATTGGCTGCTCATATTGTATATAGTACTGCAACCAAAATAATTTCTGTGAAGTAATTGTAATCTGATTATGATGACATTATACCTATCCACATGAAAGGCAGCAATCTCTCCATTGTGTCTGTCATATCCATCATAAGGCTTGCCCTCAATTACATAATCTCTTGGATACCTGTGGTTTTGCAGTAAGGTGAAACAAATTTCTTAAATTCAAGATTTCAATAAATTAAAATACAGCAAATAAGTGTTTTGTTAAAATGAAATTAAATGGTTCAAAATATTTATAGATTTTCATTTTGGATATTTTCAGAGTTGCACACTTATCAGCAGAAGCAGATTTATCAACCTATTCCCTACCCCCCCCCCCCCCCCCCCCCCTCACTAAACAGACACACACATATATACATTTACAAGCATGAAAAAGAATATAAATTAGTAAAATGAATAAATGATCAATGTGTAGTTCCAAAAATTATCCATACCCCCATCATGGAGGAATTTTTTAAGACACTCCCCTACCCACCGGAAATTCCAATTTTCTTCCATACAAACTCTGTAATTTTTGTTCTTTCTCTGACCTCCCTACTCTTCGGAAATTCCAAATTCCTCTGTGGGGTGGGTGTGGATGATTTTTGGAACTACACAATTGGATAATTCGAGGTATGGCAAAAAGGAAGACAGTCTCAACATTTCGTTGCAAAAAAAAGGAAAAGCATATTATATATATCTCACCTCATTGGTTTGAACACAACTTTTTGTTTTCCATCTAGCAAGAATGTAGCCTTCAACTGCGTTCCTTTGTACCCTATTCCTGCGGCCACTATAGGCTTGAATGATAGTCCATCTAATATGGTATTAACTCCTCCTGGTTGACTTGAAGTTAGCTGACGTAACTTGACCATTTCTTTCCAAGTAAGCCATGGATCATCTGGTTCATCATCATCATCATCATCACCATCATCTTTTTCATTCAAATTTTCAGTCGATCTCTTTTCTTTTGAAATATGTAAAGATTTATCTTCTTTGGTGTCCATATTTACATTATTATTACTATCAATATTATTTAACTCTTGGTTGGACCTGAACTTTAACCGTGTCCTTGATAAACTGTGTCCATGTTCTATACTATTGAAGTCTGAGTGGTCAGGAGCTTGTAGGAATCTTATCGTCCTCTCATTTTCATCAAGTTGCCGTTCTTGATATTCCGTTATGTGAAGCCATAGAAACGGCACAATTAAAATTCCTAAGCACCCACCAAAAATGAACCTCTCTTTTAGCTTCATATTTCCAAGGCAGTTTGTGTGGATTCTAATCAAATCGACGCCATCAATGTAGTTTATTATCCATCGTTATTTTACCGTGGTTATTGTCTTTTTGCCATTCCAGTCGTTTTTGGCCAGGCGTTCTTACGTGGCACCGACCAAAACAATGAATGATTTACRAGGTTTTCCGAACCCGGTCGTTCAAATTCGTTTTGTGTTCGATGTTCCTTCGGTCTAAAACGAAGGACACCGAAGAAAACTCGATAAGAGATTGAAAACACAGGAAGCCCAAGTTAGATAAAAGTCAAAGACAAAAAATATAATCAGTAAAAAATCGTCTTCATAGAATTTCTTYGTATTTTAGGTCAAGTTAGCATTCTACATAACGAAAGGGATGGAAAAACAAACTTAATTCAGTACAATGTTTTTTTTGCGCGCGCTTTCGTTTTTCTAAGTATTTGATAAATTGGGCTCCCTGTGGATCAGAACGAGAAGAAAACAAAATGGCGGACAAAAGAGTCGCMATTGAACAATGTTTATCTGCTGCAAAGAGTCTTCGTTCTTCTGTTTCTCAGGTTTTTGAAGACTTCGTTTCGAATCCAGTTGGGAAAGTTGACACAGAATCGTCAGATCTAGCGAAATCGTCCGAATTTGTCAACAATTTGAAGAAAGATTTTGTCCAAGTTCAGAAATCCGTCAGGTTTGTGTGTTGCTTAATAATGTCCTCTCGATATGGAAAAGACCGATATTTTAGCTTATTCATTCTTTTCGTTGTGCCCTGTTCCTGTGTGCGCAGTAATCTAGAAAAGACTGCCGCACAAGTCAGCCAATTCAAGACAGATTCGAGCTCTGCTGCTCTTGGTAACAGTGGTCTTCTCAGTCTTGACCCATGCGACGATAAAACACCTTTATACAGACAGTTGATAGGGACATACAACTGGCATGAAAAGGTAAAACGATGGGTAGATAAACAGCTATTGCTCACTATAAATTCAGGAGCATATTTAGGGTGGGGATTACTTAGAGCAACGACTAACCCCCTCCCTATTCCTACCCAGGATTTACTCATTGACAAAAATATGGAAAATAGCACAGTTYCCATTATATACCCCATACTAAGTACCCTAGAGTTCCTCCGACGAAATAATCTAAAGGCTTTAACAGCTGTTTGAGATATCTATTTCAAGGGGTCATKCAAATTTACTACTCACCCTCAAACTTCCCTCCCTCTTTGTTCTAAGAGTATTTCTAGAAGAAATGGATGAATTATTACACCCATTCCCCTACCCACTCATCATCCCATTACCCACCCATCCAACCACCCACCACTTAACCATCCATCACCCACCCACCCATCCATCCATCCATCCATCCATCCATCCA